TTCCGGTCGCGACTACATTAATGTTTCATACATATTACAAAATTTGATTATCCTCCCTCAGGAATGTCCCATACTAAGTTGTTGTCAAAGTTATATCGAAAACTAATGTGCAATACCGTTTAACAATTGTGTGGCAGTCACCACTCCACAAGTTCAAAACTTTGATATTTAATAAAAAGATAAGGGATTATGGGAAAAGACTTTACCGACAGGGAGCATATCCAGTGAATCATCATTACAAAAAGATAGATCCCAAAGGAGCCATGTGTATGCTTATTGAGTCACAAAACATGTAGAAATCAAAATATGTAGAAACATGTATAGAAATCAAAACATGTAGAAATCAAAAATTATAATATTATGACAAATAATGAGTAAAAATGTAATCCACAAGAAAATGACATCACACATTGTAATTGCTATTTACCATCGGTGAAAATGACGTTTAATACCGAAATATGTTGCATAAAAGGCACACGGGGTCCTGGGCATCCTGTAAATCAATGAAGCAGAGATTTGAATTTTAATTTTCACTTTATGGTCGAAATAGATTGAAAATATAAATATTGATCTGCAATTTGTACAATAATAGTATGATAACTTTGAACAGGATTATAACAAGTTGTCTCCGGGTTCACGAGATCCACACATGGAACATGACCTGTATACACTTTGTTTATGGGAATCACCTCCCCTTATACACAAAATGATGCGTTTTTCCAGGATATGACAATCTTAAATGTCTGAAAGCCCGCGCTTCGTTCAGTAGCAAAACTTCCCCTTCTTGCTTTAAATAACATTAACATGTAAATTTCTGAATTATCCGGGACAACTATTAACTTCATAAAAGGATACATAGCACACTTTCGCTAAAAAGATTGTAAAAACAATTAACATGTTTGCCTATCTTTGTACAATGTCTCGCTAATTTGTATTTCAAAATATCTGTCTGTCAAATGACATAGTTTAACATTAACGTGTTTGTCATAAAGGTATATCATACTCATAGGCTAATTTGATACAAATTAGAGGACTTTTTTCTTTCAATTTATAGCGTTTCTAACGCCATAGAGCAGCAATTATGGTGCCCATCGATAATTTATACCTTTACAACGTCCAATGGTTCTCAATCACCAACGAGATACCAACATTGAAATTCCAGGGGATTCATACACTTCCCCAATATCTGGCGAGAGCGTGTTCTGTGATCTGTATGAAGTGAACAGTTTTTGCGAATGTTTGAGAAATCGAAACGGTATTTTGTGATTTTTAGTCAATAGCATTTAAACTGAGGAGGGAACTTACGAAGTGAGGACAAAACGCTTAAAGTTACAATTTCTAATAGCCTAAATGTAGGCAGGTGTTTTGACGGCCATTTTGGTGTGTCAGGTGTGGTACCTGTGACATACCTTCCCCGCTCTGAGAACATAGACTGATGTACCTTGGCAGGGTTATCAATGAGAACGCCACAATTACCTTAGAAGTATGACAACAAATATATTGTTTTAACACAGTCATAATAATCCGAGAATGGGACTAAAATACGTAAAATATTGAGCACGTTTACAATACTTGTAAAACAACACAAAATAAATAATAAATGGCAATGCAAAAGTAGATTTTAAATAAGCGTTTAAAATACAGCGCTGACTTATGATAACGCTAATTATCTTTTTCATAAAGCTTTCTTATATTGACTTATATCAAACTACCCTTCTAAACCACACTTATATCTCGCTTAATCCAAAACCATGAAAAAGACAGATTCTCGTATACAAATAATATTCGCATCAATGTTCCAGAACCTAGATTTACCTGTTCAATTTCAATCGTCTGAAGGCAAAAACCAGACTATGTTTTCGATCAGTTTTTCTTCAGCACGCGTTCTGCTCGCTCTTCGTCTCTTTGTTTAAGAAAACATCGGTAAGACTTGACCTCATGCTTTCTTTGAGTGATATATGCTGTTCCGCTTCGCTGGTACCGTGTTCCTTGTCCATCCTTGACCGCTCATCTGCTAAAATCGATTCTACGATCCTCTACGCTGAATAAGGGAAACTTTGTTTTGCAGCTGAACCCTCTATACTTGCAGACTTGGGTCGAACACACCCTTCAAATATGTCAAGAAGTGCGCCCACGCAAAAATAATCTTTTTCTTTCTCTGCTTTCTTCTTCATTTTCATCACATTTCCAAAAGACACGTCCGTCACATTTACCTCTTTTTTTCTGAGCCTCCTGAACAAGAAATGCGTTCAGATACCATACTTGGTTCAGGTAGATCTCCTCTATTTTTCTCACCATTTCAGCGCGAACACACGTCTTCAAACCTGCGAAGAGGTTGCTCGGGAAGAAATAATAGAGATAGCACCTACCGCGTTTGTATTTGGCTAATATTGGTTTCGCAAAGTCCACTGATCTATATATATATCGGTGGTCCAGATAAACGGAGAGCGGAAATGAAATCCTTCATTGATTTTTGAGCGTATGTCGGCCGAACGGATTTAGATGAAGCTGGTATTTGTATAAAAGGTAAAGATTCGTATTGAGCTGTGGAAAGCGTACGAGTACTCGCTAATGTGGCGCTGTGTAGCTTTGTAGTTTCCTCCCGTGTATGATCTTTATGTGTGTTGATACCATCGGCTGTAGAAGGGATAGATTCGTTTTCTTTCCGATTGTTTTCCGACGATCACATTTGGTCAACAACAAAACCGGCGAACAGAAGTCCAACCCTATCCCTCAATTAAATAAATGCCATGGAATTAATCATTTTATTCATACAAACATGTATCGCAGTTGACAACGATGAGCATATTTAGGACTATGTAAGGTCTTCTATAACATAAACATAACCTAACCTGGTACCCAGCGATACCCATATTCGTTACCAAGCAAGGACAAACCAAAATGTCGGCATTTCCTTAGAATCAATAGTCGGAAGATATGGGAAAGATCTCAAAACCAGAAAGAAAAAAAAATTGAAAAAAATAATCTCAATTGAAACCTTTTTAGCTTGCACAGTCAGCTTTAAGCTAATGGGCCTAACATTCTCTTATTTAATAAAAAAAAATCATCAAATATTTATTACAAAAGCATTTTGAGGACAGAAAGTACATACAAAATAAATGTTTTTGTGAAACAACAAATTATGATGTCTTGAAATATATTATGTTATCTGTGTAAATTAAACCTCTCTAGAACGATAACTGTATTGATTACATGTGTGCGAGTCCTCCTTCATAACTTGTGAAACATTTATTTTGCGTCGAGACAATTGTCCCTTAATTCATATAAAAAAATAATCAGTCTATATCCTTCATCAAAAATGTGTTCTAAAGGACACAAGGAACATGCATTTTTGATATTAAGTGATAGTTGAGCAAATTAGACGTCTGGTTAACTCATTGTCAGTAGAATGTGACAGGGCTGAGTAAGGTGAATGTGCCTTCGGCATGGTATTTCAATCCCAGCACCCAAGAATACATAAAACAAGTGGAGGCACGTCCTTAAATGGCCGTATATGTTAAAAGGACTCTAAACTCATTTTTTTCTTAATATTACTTACTCAACGTACATAACACAGACTTAAGCCAATCTATTATCTCCACTCAAGTATGGTTGGATAATGCTTGTACACAATGCAGGATAACCTCGAATTTGTTGAAAAGTATTGATTGAGCCCTGTAACCTGCTAATGTAATGAAGAAGGCTGTACGTTCTGTTTGCTGTATAGGTGCGAGCTTTGACTTTCTTGTACAACAAATTTAGAAGAAGAATCATGATAATGTTACCTATGCGGAGCTGGACAGAGAAGGATTGTTAGGAGTAAGCTCTAAGTAGAACTGAACAGATTTGATAGCTACGCGAAGCCAGCATGTGAGGAACTCATACCTAATACTTACTTACAGGCGCGTGTCTGCCTATGCGCTGATACGCAGGTGAATCCATCGTATAATCAAACAATAAAACAAATTAACACTGCTTGTTGTACCCCCTTGTCCTATCAAGGTCCTGCCCTGGACCCGCTCCTAGATGAATCCACTCCGAAAGAGGGCCAGCTACACCATTGACTTATATTGTCCGTATACAATAAGAAATTATGCCGGAAATAGGTGTCGTATCCCTGCAGTTTCTTTCTGCCTTTCCTGCTGATGTTACCCTAATTGTTTTGTTAGATGATATGATGTATATACATTACAAAGTGTCGATATTACAGTGCTGTTGTACAACGTTTGAGGAAATGACTTTTGTTATAACTGGTAAATTATCTTGGTTAAAACAAGAATTTGAACATCCGGGTTTGGAAATCATAGTGCTGACACAATCTTCAACGACCAAGGGTGATCTTAATATGTAAGATGTTTCGTAAAGGGGTGATCTCGAATTTCAAGGATGCTAAAAGGATGCTTTCAACACATCAGGGATGGTTGACTGAAGGGGCGTTCTCAAATATCAAGAATAACTAACTAAAATGGTGCCTCAAAATATCACAGATAGATGACCGGGTGAACGGATGTATGTCGAAGATGGTTGGTAACGAGGCATTCTCAAATTCTCAAAACATGGTTGACTAAAAGATGCACTCAATACATGTACATCAATAATGTTTGATCGAAAGGGTGTTCGCAAAATATGAAAATGGGTTACTAAAGGAGTGTTCTCAAAAAATCCATGGATGGTTGACTCAAGGGGTGTTCTCAAAGTATCAAGAATGATTGACTGAAGGGTTGTTCTCAAAGTATCAAGGATGGTTGACTTAAGGGATTGTTCTCAAAGTATCAAGGATGGTTGACTGAAGGGTTGTTCATGTTCACAACATATCAAGAATAGATGACTTAACGGGTGTTCTCAAAATATCAAGAATGATTATCTGGAGTGGAGGGATGTCTTAAAACATTAAGGATAGTTGAATGAAGGTTTGTTCTCTAAAGATTGTTTTATTGTAACAAATTAAACACGGTTTCTGCGATACTAAGTTCTTGAATGAAAGACATAAGATTGTTCGAGAGTATAGTTTATATTTACTCCACACATATACGTGTATAACACAAGGTCAAATATAACAATGCTTGCACAGGTAACAATACAATAAACAGTATGTCTGAATAGTTCTGATTGACAAAACACTTTCTAGGAAATAAGTAAATCCATTATAATATTGATATTAGTGGTGGTATTCATCCTCACCACAGTTATCACACAGAGGACATACTCATTCCCAATACACTTTTCCATCTTCCAATCGCTATAGGAAAACTATGATTATTACGTTAGAGTTTGAAAATATATGGTTCAATATTTAGCAATAAGGAGTAGATTTACTCTCATAAGAAAACTTCAATATCATAGAACTATCTTTTTACATTTGATTTTGTATATTTGTATATTTGATTTTGATATTTGATTTTGTATATTTGATTATTTCAAGGACTGTCTATAAATTGTACTTGAGGTTTGATGTGTGCATATGTCATATGACCAGTACTATTTGGTACATCCTCGCCTTAGTACATTAACTTTACAGTATACCAAACATTCTCTTATCTAAATTTCTGAAAAAGACACCTACTCAGCTCGCCTTAAACCATGCATAAAAGTTGGATTTTTCTATGAATTTCTCATAGATGAAATTTTTGTGTGCACCATAATTTAAAAAAATAAGTAGATTCAATATTCACACCTTAAATACAAGATAGAATTATATGATAATCGAAAACGAAAATTATAAATTAATTTTCACTTAATTCTATATCCCCAAAAGATATTTGGAAGAAATATATTCAAACACAGTTTGAGGAAGCCATATTCCTGTAACCGCCTAAAAAACTTTCACGGTAATTTAAATACAATCACAATGCACACACCAATATATATATATATATATATATATATTATATTTCGACATGATTTGAGATAAATTGAAAACATTTCAACTATACTGATCGACAATAGCATTACTTTGTTCATGTAGAAATGATTTTGTCGTACTTCCAAGTCAATTTCGATGCTTCATACAAAAAGTATCACCTTAAGTGCTCCGAATTAAACGTTAAGTGTAATAAAAAAACAAGTTTGTTAATCAAGTCATCTCAATAACTGGATTTTTGTACAGCGATGATTCGTACTGAAACTTAATCTGAACAAGAATAATAATAATAATACTCCTTAATAGTACTTCCCACACACAAGAACAGTTTCCTTCCTTTGTAAAAAATAAACTTTGAATATAAAAGGTAGCTTCACCTCGTGTACTCGGTCCCAATATAAGGTGGCATGTATTCATGACGCACTTACATCTAAATACAGGGTGACAATAAAGGCAATGAAATTAAGACATCCTTCATACAGTCTTTGTCAAATCAATATTTTTCAATTTAAATCAAATGTTTATGTCTCCAAACATGGTCATTATTTAATCTTACAGACAATTTTGTATCTATTACATATTATGCATATGATTCACAACAAACTGTCGACATGAACGTTTTTTTGTGTATTTGATTAGTCACCGGAGAACCACTGTTTGTAGTGTATGCGGCCGTTGAGTTACAGTTTTACACCCCTCAGTGCCGCGTCATCATATCCTATCCGAATCACTGTCCGTAAACGTTTCGATTCCGGTTCAATTCTTTTTTCTGATATATCATTGTTTTCAAAATAGACAACGTTTTCGACCAGAGATCCAACGTCTGGAGAACTGAAATCAATCGATCTTGCCCGAACTATGTTTTCTTGATAGCCTACTACGTGATCAGTGTTTACAAAATTAGGTCTTTTACTAATGAGGGAGTTCGTTGGGGTGGAACGCCCGTTACCAATGGAGACACGATCACTGGGCGAAGCGTCCCTGACAGGCGCATTGAAACTAGCAGTGCTGTCTGGTCTTTTGTATTGATGGGTTTTCACCGGAAGTCTAGAGTTAGAACTGCTGTGATCATTGGGTCTTGGGTCACTTCTGCTAAATTCGCGACCGTGAACTGGATAACCACTATTGCTTAAACTACGTATATTAACTGGAAGGTTTCCGTTGCGAACGCCAAGACCATTAACCGGATTCCCACTGACCGAGGCTTCTCCAATGCTAACGCCGCGCCTATGTCCATTTTGAGGCTTATCGTTCTTAGCTTTGTTATGATCACGATAATAACTCTCCCCGAACACTGACTGGTCGTGGTAGTCGCTGTTTATGATACCTTGGTCACTCGTATACAAGTCATTCTTCTTAAGAATATCTTCACTCGAACCGAAATCAAACGGATCGTCCATGTCTAGCTCCTCCATGCATTCCTTTGTAGCATCTCGCCTTGAGCAACATGGCAAATTGAAACACAGAATACCCAGACGGTAAGTCAGCAGAAGTACGACTATTGTGTTCTTGAGCACGAAAAACACTAGACTGTATGTAAGCAATTGTAGATAAAAGATTATAAACAGCCGGAGGGCCAAAAATGGTCCGTCTTGTAAAAACAGCCCGGCTATAGTGACGAAAATATCTGGGAACGAGTTCCCACACCCGGCACAAACACAGCAATTGCTTTTGTCTTTCTCATCTTGTGTATGTTTTCTGAACGAGTTGACCGCTCGCCTGTTCATCACAACAGGTATAAACTGGATAAAGCTAACGGACCAAATTGCTAAGATAGCGTATGTTATCATCGGGTTTCCTCGGATTGAATCCTCGTCGAATAACGCAAATAACTCCATGATATCTGATGCCATTGCTAAGTAATCGAAGAGGAGATCCGAAAGTTCCTCCCGGGTTACCCTGCCCCTGGGTAAGAGCCAGCGACCATTCACAATCAGGTATACCAATGACTCCTCCACGACCACCACCCATGTGTCGGCGTTGAAACTGTCTAGTAAGATCTCGATGTTGGCTATGATTCCTGCAGACTGATGAAAGAGAAAAAAATCTTCATAAATATAAAAAGAAACAAACGAAACTTTGTTGAATCACAATAACTAAATTTTACAGAAGAGAACATACATGTCGACTGATACTACAAGATGAATGTAAAAATAGATGAGAAGGACTGAACGAAACTCTCGTTACTAACATAAGAGTGTGTTTGCTTTGAACATAACTGATAAAAGATCTCCATATAGCCATCAGTTCCAAAGCCTACTGTCTGAAGGTAATAACTCAGAAAAAGGAGTTTTATTTAGATAACTTGCCAAATTTTGATGAATTATACATTTTTGTTGTTAATTTCCAAAATGGCAGTATTAAGTTTTGATAGAAAGTTGGTTTCAGTGGTGATTTTTACTTTAATGAATAATTTTATGAAATTGCTCTTCTTCCGATGTTTTAATTTTGTTGCATAATTGTTTTCCTCAAAAACTGATGCTAAAGAAAAAATACACATGCAGTATTAAATCTCCATCAGACTTATACTTATTTCTTATGTCCTTAAAACCTGAGTGTTGAGTCATATTTTTCTCTCAGATCCTACTTCAAATTTCTGAGATGAACATTTTTTTTTTATCGCATAATAACATGCTTTAGGAGAATTCCGTCAAAATTCATTATTTAAGTTATCCCGTTCAGTCACCGTAATTCACTGTACCCCATCAAGCTACCGGTCCGCTCAAAAATATACATAAAAGCTGACCTCAATCTACCCGTGTACATAAGGAGAAGTATTTAAAACTGCACTCTGCCGCTGTTGTTATTCTGACAATGTGCGTCTAGTTTATAAATCTCCTGTGAGAAATCTATTACAAATCCAAGTATGTATTCGATATATTCATCTGAAAGCTATTGAGATGGGGTTTGTAAATAAGAGACTCGAGGGGTGGACTCCTCTCTGGATGTGTAGTAAGGAGGCAGTGTAATTTCCGGTCCTTATGTTTACAAGTAACTTGAATCCACAGTATGCATGGTATTGTTCAGAATAGAGATTCATGTTAGATGATATCTTAATGGCATTGTATGATAATAGACTACATCGAGTAGGGAAATACAGCAGTATGTCACACATAGAGTAGGGAGATATAGCTGTATGTCACTCATTCAGTAGGGAGATATAGCTGCGTGTCACACATCGAGTAGGAAAATAGAGCTGTATGTCACACGTCGAGTAGGGAGATATAGCTGCATGTCACACATCGAGCAGGGAGATATAGCTGTATGCCACACATCGAGTAGTGAGATACAGCTGTATTTGTCACATCGAGTAGGGAGATACAACTGTATGCAAACAGAGTAGGGAGATATAGCTGTAGGTCACACATCGAGTAGGAAGATATAGCTGTATGTGTCACATCGAGTAGTGAGATATAGCTGTATGTGTCACATCGAGTAGGGAGATATAGCTGCATGTCACACATCGAGTAGGAAGATATAGCTGTATGTCACACATTCAGTAGGGAGATATAGCTGCATGTCACACATCGAGTAGGAAGATATAGAGCTATATGTCACACATCGAATAGGGAGATATAGCTGTGTGTCACACAGAGTAGGGAGATATAGCTGTGTGTCACACAGAGTAGGGAGATATAGCTGTATGTCACATCGCATCGAGTAGGGAGATATAGCTGCATGTCACACATCGAGTAGGAAGATATAGAGCTGTATGTCACACATCGAATAGGGAGATATAGCTGTATGTCACACAGAGTAGGGAGATATAGCTGTATGTCACATATCGAGAAGGGATTTATAACTGTATGTCACACAGAGTAGGGATATACAGCTGTATGTCACACAGAGTAGGGAGATACAGCTGTATGTCACACAGAGTAGGGAGATGCAGCTGTATTTCACACATAGAGTAGGGAGGTGCAGCTGTATGTCACACATAGAGTAGGGAGATATAGCTGTATGTCGCACAGAGTAGGGAGATATAGCTGTATGTCACACAGAGTAGGGAGATATAGCTGTATGTCACACATCGATTAGGGAGATATAGCTGTATGTCACGCATCGATTAGGGAGATATAGCTGTATGTCACGCATAGAGTAGGGAGATAAAGCTGTATGTCACACAGAGTAGGGAGATATAGCTGCATGTCACACAGAGAGTAGCGAGATATAGATGTATGTCACACAAAGAGTAGGGAGATATAGCTGTATGTCACACATCGAGTAGGAAAATTGAGCTGTATGTCACACGAAGAGTAGGGAGATATAGCTGTATGTCACACATAGAGTAGAGAGATACAGCTGTATGTCACACATCGAGTGGGGAGATACAGCTGTATGTCACACAGAGTAGGGAGATATAGCTGTATGTCACAAAGAGGATTGAGATATAGCTGTATGTCGCACGTCGAGTAGGGACATAAAGCTGTGTGTCACACATCGAGTAGGGAGATAGAGCTGTATGTCACACGGACATATAGCTGTATGTCACATATCGGGTAGGGATTTATAGCTGTATGTCACATATCGGGTAGGGATTTATAGCTGTATGTCACACATAGAGCAGGGAGATATAGCTGTATGTTACCCGTCGAATAGGGAGATATAGCTGTATTGCATGTCACACATCGAGTAGGAAAATATAGGTGTATGTCACACATAGAGTAGGGAAAGGTATGTGACACATACAGTAGGGAGACATAGCTGTATGTCACATCGAGTAGGAAAATAGAGCTGTATGTCACACGGACATATAGCTGTATGTCACACAGAGTAGGGAGATATAGCTGTAGGTCACACATCGCGGAGGAAGATATAGCTGTATGTCACAAAGAGAATTGAGATATAGCTGTATGTCACACAAAGAGAAGGTAGATATAGCTGTATGTCACCCATCCAGTAGGGAAATACAACTGTATGTCACACATAGTTGAGAGATATAGCTGTATGTCACATCTAGTAGGGAAATATAGCTGTATTTCACAAAGAGTATGGAGATTAGCTGTATGTCACATATCGGGTAGGGATTTATAGCTGTATGTCACACAGTGTCACATCGAGTAGTGAGATATAGCTGTATGTGTAACATCGAGTAGGGAGATATAGCTGTGTGTCACACGTCGAGTAGGGACATATAGCTGTATGTCACACATCGAATAGGGAAATATAGCTGTATGTCACAAAGAGTAGGGAGATATAGCTGTATGTCACATCGAGTAGGGAAATATAGCTGTATGTCACACATCGGATAGGGAAATATAGTTGCATGTCACACATCGAATATGGAAATATCGCTGTATGTCACAAAGAGTAGGGAGATATAGCTGTATGTCACATCGAGTAGTGAAATATAGCTGTATGTCACACATCGAGTAGGGACATATAGCTGTATGTCACAAAGAGTATTGAGATATAGCTGTATGTCACACATCGAGTAGGGATATAGAGATGTATGTCACACATCGAGTAGGGAGATATAGCTGTATGTCACACAGAGAGTAGGGAGTTGCAGCAGTATGTCACACAGAGAGTAGAGAGATACAGCTGTATGTCACACAGAGTAGGGGGATATAGCTGTATGTCACACATCGAATATGGAAATATCGCTGTATGTCACAAAGAGTAGGGAGATATAGCTGTATGTCACACATCGAGTAGGTAGATACAGCTGTATTTCACACAAAGAGTAGGGAGATACAGCGGTATGTCACACATCGAGTAGGGATATATAGTTGTATGTCACACATAGAGTAAGGAGATATAGCTGCATGTCACACATAGAGTAGGGAGATATAGCTGTATGTCACACATAGAGTAGAGAGATACAGCTGTATGTCACACAGAGTAGGGATATATAGCTGTATGTCACACATCGAGTAGGTAGATACAGCTGTATTTCACACAAAGAGTAGAAAGATATAGATGTACGTCACATGGCGAGTAAGGCGATATAGCTGTATGTCACACATCGAGTAGGGAGATATAGCTGTATTTCACACATCGAGTAGTTAGATACAGCTGTATTTCACACAAAGAGTAGGGAGATACAGCTGTATGTCACACATCGAGTAGGGAGATATAGCTGTAGGTCACACAAAGAGTATGGAGATATAGCTGTATGTCACACATAGAGTAGGGAGATATAGCTGTATGTTACACACAGAGGAGGGAGATATAGCTGTATGTCACACATAGAGTAGAGAGATACAGCTGTATGTCACACATAGAGTAGGGAAAGATAACTGTATTTCACACATCGAGTAGGGATATATATCGGTTTGTCACCCATCGAATAGGGAGATATCGCTGTATGTCACACATAGAGTAGGGAGATATAGCTGTATGTCACACATCGAGTAGGGAGATATAGCTGTATGTCACATCGAGTAGGGACATATAGCTGTATGTCACACATCGGATAGGGAAATATAGCTGTATTTCACAAAGAGTATGGAGATAGAGCTGTATGTCACACAAAGAGTAGGTAGATATAGCTGTATGTCACATCTAGTAGGGAAATATCGCTGTATGCCACACATGGAGTAGGGAGATATAGCTGTATGTCACATCGAGTAGGGACATATAGCTGTATGTCACACATCGGATAGGGAAATATAGCTGTATTTCACAAAGAGTATGGAGATAGAGCTGTATGTCACAAAAAGAGTAGGTAGATATAGCTGTATGTCACATCTAGTAGGGAAATATAGCTGTATGCCACACATGGAGTAGGGAGATATAGCTGTATGTCACATCGAGTAGGGAAATATAGCTTTATGTCACACGTCGAGTAGGGAGATATAGCTGTATGTCACCCATCGAGTAGGGAGATACAGCTGTATGTCACACATAGAGTAGGGAGATACAGCTGTATGTCACACATCGAGTAGGGATATATAGTTGTATGTCACACATAGAGTAGTGAGATATAGCTGTATGTCACACAAAGGGTAGAGAGATATAGCTGTATGTCACACATAGAGTAGGGAGATATCGCTGTATGTCACAAAGAGTAGGGAGATATAGCGGTATGTCACACATCGAGTAGGGACATATAGCTGTATGTCACACATCGGATACGGAAATATAGCTGTATTTCACAAAGAGTATGGAGATAGAGCTGTATGTCACACAAAGAGAAGGGAGATATAGCTGTATGTCACATCGAGTAGGGAAATATAGCTGTATGTCACACATCGAGTAGGGAGATACAGCTGTATGTCACACAGAGTAGGGAGAAATAGCTGTATGTCACATCGAGTAGGGAAATATAGCTTTATGTCACACGTCGAGTAGGGAGATATAGCTGTATGTCACACATCGAGTAGGGATATAGAGCTGTATATCACACATCGAGTAGGGAGATAGAGCTGTATGTCACACGTCGAGTAGGGAGATATAGCTGTATGATATAGCTGTATGTCACACATCGAGTAGGGACATATAGATGTATGTCCCATCGAGTAGGGAAATATAGCTTTATGTCACACGACGAGTAGGGAGATATATCTGTATGTCACACATCGAGTAGGGAGATAGAGATGTATGTCACACGTCGAGTAGGGAGATATAGCTATATGTCACACATCGAGTAAGGATTTATAGCTGTATGTCACACATCGAGTAGGGATATAGAGCTGTATATCACACATCGAGTAGGGAGATATAGCTGTATGTCACACATCGAGTAGGGAGATACAGCTGTATTTCACACATAGAGTAGGGAGATATAGCTGTATGTCACCCATCCAGTAGGGAAATACAACTGTATGTCACACATAGTTGAGAGATATAGCTGTATGTCACACATCGAGTAAGGATTTATAGCTGTATGTCACACAGAGTAGGGAGATACAGCTGTCTGTCACACAGAGTAGGGAGATGAAGCTGTATGTCACACATAGAGTAGGGAGATACAGCTGTATGTCACACATAGAGTAGGGAGATATAGCTGTATGTCACACAAAGAGTAGGGAGATATATCTGTATGTCACACATCGAGTAGGGAGATATAGCTGTATGTTCCCCGTCGAATAGGGAGATATAGCTGTATGTTACCCGTCGAATAGGGAGATAGGGAAATACAGCAGTATGTCATGTTATAGGAAATGAGCTGATTTCGATACACGGTCCCCTTAATCAGACAAATGCCCAGTGAAGACACAAAGAGTAGGGAGATATAGATGTACGTCACATGTCGAGTAGGGAGATATAGCTGTATGTTACCCGTCGAATAGGGAGATATAGCTGTATGTTACCCGTCGAGTAGGGAGATATTGCTGTATGTCACACTGACAATGTCCGCTGATAAACTCACCAGTAAAACACCAAATTCTTTTTATGTAACATTTTCCTCGATGGTTAGTAGTTGAAGGAAATATATGAATTTATGTATTCAATACTATCTATCTAAATACTTAATTCGAGCTACAAACCAACATACAAATCATAATATATGAACACACAAAACTATCATAATAGATAGCCGATGTTGCAGATTAATGATTACCGTTGTAGTTGTCATAGGGACTGTAGACGTCATCAGATCAGTCGTGTTGTTGGTTAACATCTCAATAGCATTGATAATGGTAGTTTCTATGGTAGCGTTCACAATGTCTGATATGTTGGAAGCAGTAGTTGCCATGGTAACGTTTAGAATGTCCGAAATATTAGAAGTAGTAGTTGCCATGGTAACGTTGACAATGTCCGAGATATCAGAAGCAGTAGTTGCCATGGTAACGTTTAGAATGTCCGAAATATTAGAAGTAGCAGTTGCCATGGTAACGTTGACAGTGCCCGAGATAACAGAAGCAGTAGTTGCCATGGTAACGTTGACAATGTCCGAGATATTCGAAGTAGTAGTTGCCATGCTAACGTTGACAATGTCCGAGATATTAGAAGTTGTAGTTGCTATAATATCGTTCAGAATATCCGAGATGTTGGAAGCCGTAGTTGCCATAGTGGCGCTCACGTTACTGCCATTTGCGGCCAAAGCTGTGGTCATTGTTCTGGTCACATCACTGGTCACTGTCTGGACAGTGGTAGGGGCCAATGTGGCATTGGCAGTAGTAGCGGCTCCTGTCTGACTTTCCATGTATTTGTTCATTTGTGAGATCTCCAGCAGCCATATGGAAGGTAACGTTATGACTAGGTAGATGGCAAAACATGGACACAACCTGAAACAGACCGGGTACAAATAAGAATAATGGCTGTACTCCTATTAGTTCTTTTTTAAGTTGTTATAGGTACCGAATATGTTTAATTCCTTTACGTTACACATTCTTAAGTCATTAAAGGTGGCAAAGGCAGAGTTATGTACATGTATGCTTAAACTGTGACCTTACCACTTCCACTCGATACCCTTGTTGACTCGGATGGTGATGTATCCTTCTAGGGCAACTAGCACCACTCCCAGACACATTAGCCAGAACTGAGGGTTGTTCCAGGCTAGGGTCACTCGCCACGTGGCCAATACGGTGTGGAAAATGAGAAGAAGTCGGACGAAAATTGCCATAGCGACCGTCGACAGATGAGACTTAGACTGTTCCTCCATCTTTGGTCCAGTTTCAAAGACACAGCACTGAAAACAACGGATTGTTTTGAATTATTATTGTTTTTGTACAAAGTATATTTTTTTGTTATAGGAAATGAGCTGATTTCGATAAATTTCTACTTCTTAAATCTATTTGATTGTTGATGTTTTCATTCGCTTGGTAATTTACTCATGCGCCGCGTTTTGTTATGCAAATAAAATCATAACCAGTTTCCGAATGAGGAGACGAAATGGGTTCGCTTTAAATGTTATGTACTCAGCTTTTTTTGGAGTAGTGTTTATTAGACTATACTAAATATAACATGAATTTGAAGAATGTTGTCATGTTTTAGAAGACACACATTAAATCTAGGTCAGCGGGTCGTTTTAGTGTCGCATACATCAGACATGTAACCCATTACACTTATCAGATACGACTTGGTAATCTAGACACATAACTAAACACAGAATGTACAGCAATTTCTGGTGAAACTGTCTTTATACATGTAACAATACAACAAACTTTTTTCTTTTTCTTAACAAAATTATATACTGTTATCAAGTTTAGAGTTTTGCATGATTTAATATTCCCACGAGGTTTAGCATAACAGGCGTACGAATTAATTGTTTAGAAAAAAGGAATGTGTCTTTATTACACTGAAATCTGTATTAATTCATATAAACCGATAATATACTAGCCGAAAATATTATTTTGGTTTTGTGTGTTTTAAGTGATTAACTTCTTAATAATTGTTAATTCACTCAGATTTTTAAATAATCTTTTATGTGATGAATCGTTTCTCAAGTAAAATACCGGAGCGCGTTTCTTTTTGTAAGCGAACCTCCCAATCCAACATAATCAGAGGTGTAGCTGTACACAATTTGACAGAATTGCATCATTTTACTGTCCCTTCCCCATTCCTTACCTTTGGTACAGTCCTGTTTTCGCGAGAGTTTAACGAGAGTACCTCTGACGACGTGGTCCACCTTCTCGATCAGTCGCTCCCAGCTTAAAAGTGTGGGAAGACCGGAGACTACGACAATTTATTTGCCCAGCGTCGTTTGTCATTCATACAGCGACACCTGAAAGAAAAGAAGGGATCGCATTACACGCTCTCGAGCAAGCTTCATAACAAAAACTGCATACATATTTTAGTATGGAAAATAATGATTTTTTTCATACTTTAGGTAATCGTTGAACTTATTCTGTTAAATACAGTTTTATGAACAGAATTAAAACGTGTTTTGAATGCTCTTAACAAACATGTATAAATATGTTCAAGTACAACGCAAATCAAATTTCATCTTCACTGACATATATATTAAATTTGAGTGTCACCACAGGTAAATTTCCAAGTCAGTGGAAAATTTCAAAAGTTATTCCTCTTCATAAAGGTGGAGCAATGACTGACATTTCTAATTATAGACCAGTGTCTATTTTACCAGTTTTATCAAAAAATTTAGAAAGACATATTCATAATAGTTTTTATAAGTATATTAATGAACATAATCTTCTTGTTTCCTCACAGTCAGGGTTCCGTAAGCATCATTCTTGCGAGACTGCCTTACTCAGTATTGTTAATAAGTGGGCAAAGGAAATTGACAAAGGAAATGTCAATGGTGTTATTTTTATAGATTTTAAAAAAGCCTTTGACATGGTAGATCATGAGGTTTTAATTCAAAAGTTAGCCATATATCAATGTGACAAATTATCTTTGAGCTGGTTTCAATCTTATCTCTCTCACCGGTTTCAAAAAGTTACAGTATCTAATCATATTTCTAAAAGTAATCAAATTACTCATGGTGTTCCACAGGGTTCCATAATAGGTCCCCTGATGTTTCTTATTTTTATCAATGATTTACCTCTTGGGCTAAAATCAGGTACAGATATGTATGCTGATGACTCGACTCTGAGTGCATCTGGAAGTTCTATTTCTATTGTACAGGATGAGTTACAAGCTGATCTGATTAAAGTCCAAGACTGGTGTAATGAGAATAAAATGATTCTAAATAGGAATAAAACGAAATGTATGGTTATTGCCACAAAACAGAAACTTAACAGAATAGATGATGCTCTAAGCCTAATATTAGATCAGGAATGTATTGAACAAGTAAAGAGTGAAAAACTTCTTGGTGTAAAAATTGACAACAGTTTATCTTGGTTAGATCACATAGCATCTGTTGTTTCAAAGATTAACAGTGGTTTGGGTTTACTTCGACGCATCCGTCAATATTTACCACTTTCAGCTAGACTTAAATTTTTTCATGCATGTATTTTTCCCCACTTCATGTACAGTAGCACAGTATGGAGCGGATGCTCTTTAAATCTTCTACAAAAACTGTCAAAAGCGCAGAAACAAGCTGCAAGATTACTGTTGGATGCTCCATTTGATACACCATCAGTAGAAATGTTTTCTTCATTAGGGTGGTTACCAATTGGCGAATATTTGAAATTCAAAAGAGGTGTTATGGTGTACAAATGTATAAATAATCTAGTTCCAGGATATCTTTCTAATCAATTTAATTTGTCTAACAACAGATATACTAGATCAGCATCCCAAAACTCTGTCAAGGTACCCAAACACCGTACCACATTTTATTCCAAACACTTTTTGGTACAAGGGAGCCAGATTTGGAATAATTTACCGGTTGAAGTAAGACTCTCTTCCTCCTTGACAAAACTCAAACAAAATATGATTGGTAACATTAAGAATGCGGTTTAATTGTCTTTTATTTTTACTATTATACTTTTTAGATACAGCTTTGATTTGTTTTATTTTCGCTATATTAGCGTGTATTCTGTCAATTTTTAGCTTTTGCTACATTAGCATATATGTAAATTAGACAATTTGTCTTTTAATGAAAACCATAATGGGTTAAGCACGGAATATATTTCGTGCTTCTGTGATAATTTTATTGTAATTGTATTGAACGACCGTTTAAATTATGAAATAACTGTGATATGAATTGCTGTTTTAGTAGACCAACAATTATTTTATGTACATTTATTTGATGTGATACTACTTTGTCTTTTAACTAACCAATTTTACTAACAGAGGACCCTGTGGAAGATTAGCTTTGCTAAACAGGTTTTGTATCCTCAATAAATAAAGTTTTATTATTAATTATATCGTGCCGTCTGTGAAGAGACCGAGAAAAAACCGTTTAAATGTTAGATCTCTTGATTTACAAAGCTTTTATCCCACTGGTTGGTTTGAACTCCGCCTCATATTTCAAGAATACCTGAACTTGTAACATTTGCTAGTGTACTCTTCATGTACAAGTACAAGCCACAAAACACCTTTCTGTAACAAAATGTGTAAACCGGTAACCAAAATGTCTTGATAATGGTGACAAAGAGAGGTCAAATGAAATAGGGCTCGGGTTTTATAATGTTTTTACAAGACAATTAACAAACTAAATCATGCAAAATGACGAACAAACCTGAAAACGCTTAACCTCAAGGGAAGTTGCCTATATAACGGCGAACATATACGGGTACTTATCCAGTACAACAAGACTATCTTACATACTTCGCTCTTTATGGAGTTAGTCCTTTATCAACTGTGTATCATTCCAAAAACTAAACCTGCCTTACAGACTAGCTCCCTAGACCGTTTCCCAAGCTTCATCGCGGAAATTACATAGCCAATCATGTGATGAGTTGGCGAAGCTGGTATTGACCTGAGCCTTCCTTGTGATCGATCACGAGACTTGGATAGAAAATAGTGAAAATATACAATTCTTGTGGTTTGTTATTTTTGCTTTTCGGAAATAACTGTGCGTTTCGTTTTGGTTAACTAACAGATTTGAAGTTTGAAATGTCGGGATAAAAAAGTTTCTGCAGTTTTCTCCGAGCAATAATCATGTTTCTGCAGGTTTCTCCGAGCAATAAGCAAGTTTCTGCAGGTTTCTCCGAGCACGACTAATTCTTTAGGCATTCCCAGTCCCGGAGTTCTATTCCTTAAACATGAGACGACAGATACATGGAACATCAGAACAATATAAAAAAATTACGAGTTGATGATTTAAGTTCAAACCTTTTATTTCATTTATTTCTCGAGTGTCTTACTCAGTGCTAAGTAGCAGCTAGGTAATACACGTTCCTCTCGGATGTCTCGGCCAAATCTGATGTATTGCGGGTGTTCATGTCTTTGTAAAATGAGTCACATATGACGCGCGTTGTGTGTGTTTCATGAACTTTGCACACACATTACAAAAATCATCAGCCTCGTTTTTTTACTGTTAACTTGCAATCTCTAACTCCATTGGTTGGTAACGTTATCAGCATCTCTATACTTCGGGTTTGTAAGTTTTAATTATGAAAAGTTCTTTTTACACAACCAATAATGTTTTCTATGTGACGTTTCGATGACTAGTACGATATGTACACGGTCCCCTTAATCAGACAAATGCCCAGTGAAGCGTATGCACACAAAGGTGTCATTGTCACACTGGTCATTTGTCTGATGAAGGTGACAGTGTACATATCGTACTAGTCATCGAAATGTCACATAGAAAACAAATATTGGTCGTGTAAAAAGAACTATCATAATTAAAACTCATCTCTATACATTTATTTGAATGGCTGTGTATTTTCGCTCTGCTGTATCTTCAGTTCGTAGGATTTTTTCTAAAACCGTTCGTAAGCTTTGGTATATTCTCTAGATCTCGATAGTGGACTGTTTTGAAACCGTGATGCTACGAGTGTAAATCAAGCTGACATCTCATCATATCATGTGAATGTAAGCCGTATGAAATTGAAACCATTAACATCTGTTCTGTATTGTTACCATATAAATCTTCCAAGGTCAGTTGTGATTTATTTAAGCATTTAATTTATTTCAGTAGGTATTATGAATGCAAACTGGACTATGGCAAATGCAATGAAGCGCGCTAGCGTTTAATGTAGGTGTCGCATTTGTCCAGTTGGCATTCATATTCCCTATAAATGTCAACTGAAACCAGTTCATCAGTTATATTCAAAAATAAATTGAATCTTTCGATCTCATAGCAAATTTAATAATATTTAATATTATTTACTATTTGAATCACATAATAAATAAGAACAGACATCTATTCAGGGAGGATCAGTGGTATCCAAAGTAACAATTATGAGGTCATGACATCAACAATTAGCTGATGGCATTCATACCATACATGAATGTCTTCTTAATATGACAAGGATAAATATAAGAGCATGATTTTGAAGGGAGGTCGTTACATCACAATGATAACGTTGGGAATAGCTGGCCAATACTGGCTGTTGGCTTTTCCATTGATTTAAAATGACTGTCAAAATTGACCCGCGATAATTGTGTAATGTTTTAGTGTTAATCACTCAATATGAACTAATTATTTATATAAAGAACTATTTAATCCAGTTTGACCGCACGTGTGTGACCACGAAAAGACGTGAAAGTCATTACTTGAACAACCATAATAGCCCTTTATTCCAACTTGCTTCTGTCCGAATCATAACACTATGCTTTAAACATTTATATTTAAAAAAAAAATGATAGCCTTGCATACTATCTGCCTATTGTAATTTTAGAAGAAGCCGTTTGAGGTTTTTTAAACATGTTTCCTTTGGCAACTTAATTTCCAAATGCACACGAAAAACTGCATTCAACAGAATGCCACCTAGTTTGACAAGCGGTAAAGGGACAAACGTTGGTGAGAAATTGTAAGGACTTTGCTATGTACAGAATTTAGAACATAAGGATGTAAAGTTATAGATTTCCAATTGATAAGCCTCACTTCTCTCCGTATCACACTATATCGGACCACTTTCATCTGCCTATTGAAGGACACGATGTCAACAAAACCATAGTTTTAACTTAAAACCAATATAGATAGGGAAAATGGGAACTGACACAGAACATGGCCTGTATATGGGTATTACCTCCCCTTTTACGCGAAATGATGCGTGCTTTCCAGGATGAGGACGTGTCCAGTGACAGGAGATTGTGACACGAAACCTCCATTTGAAAGCCCGCACTTCGTTTGGTAGGAAAAACTCCCCTTCTTGCTATTAATAACATTAAACGTGTTTTCAAAACCACACAAAACCATTTAAATTTCTGAATTATCTAGAAATATGGTAAAATAATCCGAAATTAATATGTTTGCTTTATCTTTATGCATTGTCTCTCTAATTGTGTTTCTAAGTAACTTTCTGTCAATAGACATAGTTTAACATAATCATGTCTGGGTTTTTTATAGCGTTTCTAACGCCCTAGATTAGCAATTATGGTGCCCATTGATAATTTATACCTTTACAGCATCCAATGGTTCTCAACCACCAACGAAATACCACCCTTGAAATTCCAGGGGATTCACACATTCCCCCGTTTTTGTTTAGTATTTTGCAATATTTCTAGAGAAAGCGTGTCATGAATCCTGTTATGTAGTTGAAAGTTTTCGTGAATGTTCAAGTCGACACCTTATTGTGTGGTTTTGACAGCGTGTAAACATGTAAACTAAGGAGGGAACTTACGAAGTGAGGACAAAACGATAAAAGTTGCAATTTCTAATAGCCTAAATGTAGGCAGGTGTTTTGGCAGCCATTTTGGTGTGTCAGTATCATGATGCAGGTGTTATACCTTTCCTGTTCTGAGAACATATAGACTGATGTACCTTGGCAGGTTTATCAATGAGAACGCGACATTTATCTTAGCAGTATGACAACAAATATATGGTCTTACCACAGTCATAATAATAAGAGGATAGAACTTAAATACGTAAAATAATGAGCACGTTTACAATATATGTTAAACCACACAAAATAATTTTAAAAAATGGCAATGCAAAAGTAGATTTTGATTATTTAATACTACAAAAACAAACACAAACACACACACACACACACACACACATATATTTAGCAACATTTTATATAGCGTCCATTTAAATAGAATAAGTCACTTTATCGCATACCATACATAGATTAATTACAACATGAGGTTTTAATGGGGTCCGCATTATCAACTATTAATCCTTTTCAACATAGCAACATATCTGCACGTGTGAGTTTGCATCCATGAGGCGTTATTGGTGGGACCGTGCTTCCATTGGCATTATTTCCATAGTGCCTCCTCATTTACCACCACAGACACAGTAACATCAACCCGGTACTATCATTTCTACCACAATAGGTGGGTGTTATTCAACTCCCAAGGCATCAATTAATCATTACAACTGTTGTATAACATATTGTTTATACCACACGTGGTATAAACTCTAAACGCGTTTTGATTGGCTGACACGGTGAACTTTGACCGGGACTCCTTTGAATGGACAATTTGGCTGGAAAGACGATTCATGCGGTGGCAGAAATGATGATACACAGAAAGTAGTTCGTCATTGTTTTTGTGATAATAAATTTCTTATGTTGGTTTCTATAAATGTATTGCTTTGAAGACAATACATTTGTTACGTACTTGTTAAGATTTGTAAAAAATCATAATATTTCCACATATTCCTGAAATAGTCATTTTTGCATATTAGTTAGCGGCATTTTACTACAGATCATATCCTTACGCCCCATCTGATATCGTAAACAAAACACATATGCATACAGAACATGTCCATTTCCTCGGATTTTTTTTTTTATCGTGGTAGAAACAGGTCACACAAACTCGTGGTTTTTGTATATGGTATTTCTTTCACTCTCGTTAGTTATTTTACAAAAGTTACAAAAAACACGAGCTACAGCCACTCGTTGTGTAACCTCTATATATTCCACTTGGCTTATTGGAGTCATGTTGGCTGGAGAATTAATTAAGGTTTGTATGTCACCAAGTGATTTGCCTGTCGTTATTAATCTTCATTTTGCTGATCTGTGTCAGAATAACCTCAACTACTGTAAGCTTACATATTTAGCACAATCATAATTCAGCACTATGTTCAAATACAGCGCCGAATTATAATTACGCTAATTAGTTTTTTCATATAGTTTCTGTACGTCAATTCATCAATGCGCTTTTACAGTATTCAACCTTGCTATCATCAAACTACCCTCCTAAACCACATTTTGATATCGCTTGATCCGAACCAAAATAAAGACAGAGTCTCGTATACAAATAGTATTCGCATCAATAACCAGGTTTTAATTATTCCAGAACCTAGATTTACCTGTTCAATTATTAATCGTCTGAAGACAAAAACGAGACTATGTTTTCGATCATTTTTTCTTCATCACTCGTTCTGCTCGCTGTGTTCGTCTCTTTATTTAAGAAAACCTCGGTTAAAATTGACCTTATGCTTTCTATTAGTGAGGTAGTCTGTTCCGCTTCACTGGTACCGTTTTCCTTGTCCATCCTTTTTGACCGTTCATCTGCTAAAATCGATTCTACAATCCTCAGCCCTAAATTAGGAAAATTTGGCTTTGCAGCTGAACCCTCTTTACTTGCAGACTTAGGTCTACCAAACCCTTCAAATATGTCAAGAAGTGTGTCCACGCAAAAATTATCTATTTCTTTTTCTGTTTTCTTCTTCATTTCCATCATCTTTCCAAAAGACACGTTCGTCACAATTACTTCTTTTTCCTGAGCCTCCTGAACAAGAAATGCGTTCAGATACCATACTGGGTTCAGGTAGATTTCCTCTATTTTTCTTACCATTTCAGCGCGAACACACGTCTCCAAACCTGCGAAGAGGTTGCTCGGGAAGAAGTAATGTTGTAGGTAGCCCTCGTGTAACCGATCTCGCATGTAGGTCAGGAGACTCCTCAACTCATTCAGTACGTCCTCACTGCTCTCTGAGTAGGTGACCGGGTCGGTTGACTCAAGCATCAAATAAAGAGCGGTTTTCCAGTGAAACGTTGTCAGGACCTTAGAGAATTCCTCCAGTATGCTTCTTTGGAAAGCCTTGACCATCAACAAACATTTCTTGTGACCCGGGGGCATCTCCTTCGCTAGTATGATCTCAGCAATATTGCAGGAAAGACAGAAATCTATTTCAGGCTGTTCGTCTTTAACAGCTGGTTTCGCTACAACGAAAAACTGACCTCTTGAGATAGCACCTACCGCGTTTTTATTTGGCCAATATCGGTTTCGCAAAGTCCACTGATCTATATATATCGGTGGGCCAGATAAACGGAGAGCGGGAATGAAATCCTTCATTGATTTTTGAGCGTATGTCACTCGAACGGATTTAGATGAAGCTGGTATTTGTATAAAAGGTAAAGTTTCGTATTGAGCTGTGGAAAGCGTACGAGTACTCCCTAATGTGGCAATGTGTAGCTTTGTAGTTTCCTCGCGTGTATGATCTTCATGTTTGTTGATCCTTATGTCGCTGATACTATCGGCTGTAGACGGGATGGATTCGTTTTCCTTCCGATTGTTTTCCGACGATCCAATTTGGTCAACAACAAAACCGGCGAACAGAGGTCCAAACAGTCGGTAGAAATATGATTCAGAAAATTCCTGTGTTTTGCAAGTGTTTACTAATCTAGCAAAAATTTGCAAAAAGTGCGCAATGCCGTTGCCTTTGTCCTGAAACACTTCTGATTGGTTCAATCGCTTTAAAACCTTCTCTGTCAATGTCTTGTCACATGCAAATCTCGGACTGGTCCTAGGATTTAGCAAATCGCTGTGCCAATGTGTGTAGTCGGTCACATTGGTACCAGGTTTGATATCGGTGTCCATCGTTACCCTTGGGACTCCATCGACTTTAAATGACTGAGGACTGCAACAAATGTCGAATATACCTTTGAGATGACAAAAGAGTGGCGGGGAGGGCTTTTTCACCAGTGTTGCCGGGAGAAACTTTCCATCAATCAGCTCTTTTCTCCCCAATTCCTTTAAGAATGTTCCATTTATATGTACAAAGCAAGGCAGGTCTCTCCTGTAATTCAGACATTCCACTGGTACGGTGATATCCCCGATTACTAAGATGTCCCAATCACCTTGGTCATTGTGTGTACGGAGTCGGGTCCCTTCTTTCGTACTCCCTACCACCATACAGCGTTCCTGCCCGAACTCCGACAACGCCATATTGATATAGTGGCAGTATTCATCTAGTCTCTGGTCTTGCGGTTTAGGTCGAGACATTGACATTAAATCGTCCAATATCCTCGGCAAATCCATATAGTCTTTGGCAGATATAACATCTTTATCCATGTCAACTGGAATTAAAATGGGACAAAACTGTTTATATATATATATATTAAAAATCATTGATATCAAATGAATCATACTGCTTTGCTTTGCAAACATATAATTGCATCGATAGTGTATGTAAATATAGTGTTAAACAGTTTTCAGGCCAATTCCATTTTAGGTAAAAAAAAAAAATCGCCAGACCAACTGCGGGAGTTGTGAAATATAACTTTGAGAACTACCTTCTAATTAGTTTAAACAATGTATACAGGAACATTTTCACCGCAGTTTAACTTTCGCCCTTTTTGTCTTCGACGGTGAGGGCGAATTTATCATGACAACGAATATTGATTCATAACATACCGCATAGATTAACATGTAAAGGGCGACGTTAACATACCGCATAGATTAACATGTAAAGGGCGACGTTAACATACCGCATAGATTAACATGTAATAAAGGGCGACGTTAACATACCGCATAGATTAACATGTAAAGGGCGACGTTAACACTGGGCGAATGTGAGTTGCAATGGCGAAGGGCGAATGTTTGATTGGTAGAAAGTTTTACGGTAGACAGTAATATTCTTCGTTATATGACACAAAAACTGAAACTGGACGTACATATCTGTACATGAGTCACATGACAGGGAATGATGATAACATTTCAACTAGTTGTAGTTTATGTGTTGTTCAGTAGTCGTAGGCCTTTAACTTGGAACATACATTTTCTTTTGTATTTATGTTTAAATATATTTATTTAGTTTCTAAAAGTACTGAAATGTCTTTGGTTATTTGTTATTTTTTCACTCTACAGTAACTAGTTTCCTGTTTGTCATCCTTTCCTAAGCACATTATGTACAGACTACTTGACCATGACACGTGTCAAGTCATACATATACTATAAGTGCATGTTTATCTTCCGTGTCCTAAGTACACGTGTTGGTTACTAATATTAAGTGTATATATTATATATTTCATAGATAACAGAGTTTGTGGAAAGTCCGGAATTTTTAGGTCGGCTGAACCACAAGGTATAACGAAATAAAAAATGTCGAATAACAATTATGTTTTTCAAGAGTAAGTTAATGTTTATGACCAAAAAAAGATATATATATACATGAATTTATAAAAAACAATATCAACACAGTCTTTTTTTCCCAAACCATAAATATAATGATATTTTTGTAAGCGTGTTGTTAGCTTGGCTGGGAAAAGGTTTTGTAGCAATATCAGAAAATTGAAATGCCGGTGAGGTAAACATTGCGAAATATCAGATCTCATCAATATCCCCCTCTACCAAATCTCATCAATATCACCCTCTATTAGATCTCATCAATATCACCCTCTATCAGATCTCATCAATATCACCCTCTATCAGATCTCATCAATATCACCCTCTATCAGATATCATCATTATCACATTCTATCAGATCTCATCAATATCACCCTATATCAGCTCTCATCAAGAGATGCTAATGATTTATCTTCACTCTCACGGGTAAAGTGGAATCAGAAGCCTATAAAAAACATTCATTATCAAATAAACAGTATAAAAACATTTTATGACAATGAGGACATGCCTAATTAATATTTTAGTGATTTAAAAATGTCTTGAAAAATACAGTGTAATTTGTTTGCATTCATGATTTTGATTTGATTTTAATATATAACGTATTGCTAATTACACAATGTTTCACATCTTCATATAACTTATTACCAATAAAACATTGCTAATCATTTTTCAATCATTAATAATCACTCATCAATCATAACTAATCAATCATCAATCATTTATAATCACTCATCAATCATTAATAATCACTCATCAATCATAACTAATCAATCATCAATCATTAATAGTCACTCATCAATCATTAATAATCACTCATCAGTCTTTAATTATCACTCATCAATCATTACTTATCACTCATCAATCATTACTAATCACTCATCAGTCTTTGATAATCACTCATCAATCATTTACTGATTAGTCATAATTACAAATAACTTATCAATCAAAACTAATTACTAATCAATACTACATGTAATAACTAATCAATAATTGCTTCAAAATCAGTACTCATTACTTATTGCTAATCAAACGTTACTAATAATAAAAAAAATCATACTTACATGATGTTGTGTATCCACGATTCAAAGCAATGTTCGACCATAAAATGTCCGTATGTCTTGTCCTTATATAGGTTGAAGTTTCCGTGCCTTATTTCGACCCCGACCTCACGTGAGGCCTACGTCCCACGGAGGAAAAAGGCTTTCCCCAAGTGTGCTGATTGGCTATCTTTCCTATCCAATAAAGTTACCTTATTTTCAAGTGTAATTAAAGTGGTTCAGCGAGTAAATGTAATATTCAATCTAAATCCTTTATCACATTGCGAAATTCACCAACAAGAACATCCCACGAGCTAGAAATGATTCAAGATATAACAGTTATAGGGGAAATCATGACATGTACATTTCGTTATATAACTTATTTTTAAGATGAATGTTTCGTTTGGAAACCGCAAAGTTATCATTCGTATAGATATTGGCCGGCCACTTGTAAAAATTGCACCACCTTCAATGTCTACTCTGTCTCTTCTGGTCGGGTTGAAGAACACTAATATTGGAATAAATGCACCCTGAATCTAATTCAGGCATTAACTATTACTTAAGTATAACTGTGTTGAAATGAATCATATAAATGACATTGGTCGTTCAAGGATAGATTTTCAAATCTTTTTCAAAATATTATGTAAACGAGATGTCAGATTTTTCAGGAGTGTCATTTATTCCAGAATTTTCCAATATTTTGATAAATCAAAAAGAAGCAAAATTATCCTTAAATTGAAAATCAACGTATTTTGTTTAGTTTCATGACGAATGAAGAACACTTCTTCATAATTATAAAAGGAGGAAGTTGTTAGTGTTTTCATCTTTATAAAATGTTTTGAATATCCCTTATGTCACGGGTCAGACATCAATTACCTCTAGGTCGTCTTAACCTGAGTTCCAGACCCAGATTTTGTGTAAGTTGTATTATAATTGTATATGGTATCTATTGAGGATAACCCATGCATCGAATGTTAAACCTACTAAATTTCGACAATAACATCACCAATTTAAACAAAATAAAACCATATGCGGTTTTGTTTTCAACAATAATGAAATCGGTTCTAAGGCAGAAGTTTAACACCCCTGAATATGATGAAGAAAAGCATAAATGATAAATATGTATGAATTCTTATGAATGTATTTGGAAAACGTTGTCGTCGGCTGAAATTACAGCTGTAATCCTCTAGAGGTCATATTCTATATTAACTATACAGACATTATAGAGGCAGCTATTGCACAACAAAACAGTTATTTTTTGAAATATGATAAGGCCTTTTCCTTTGCTTCCTTCTCTGCCTGTCTCCTGTCTTTCTCGTCAGCTCCAAGTTTGGAGATGAGACCTTTCAGACTATCCACCAGGTCGTGTTTTGTTACCGTCGGTGGATTGGCTTTCCCGGGATTCTTTGTCTCTTTTTCTTTCCTTCTGTCTTCCTCATCAGTAAGAGCAGTTTCCAGAATCTGTAGGAGAAGGTTTTGTACCGGTACTTCTGTAGAGGATGGTTGTGCAAATCCTTCAAGAGCATTTGCAAATGCATCTACCGACAGTTCATCTCTTTTATCTTCTACGTCGCTTTTCACTTTTGCAATTGCACTCGCCGGTATTTTCACTACGCGTGGCTTACTGACTCGCTCTTTTTCAAGACAGAAGAATGATCTTAAGTGCCAAATAGGATCATTGTAGATCTCTTCTAACTTTTTGGCAATTTCAGCGCGAACGCACGTCTCCAAACCTGCGAAGAGGTTGCTCGGGAAGAAGTAATGTTGTAGGTTACCCTCGTGTAGCCGATCTCGCATGTAGTCCAGGAGGCTCCTCAACACATTCAGTACGCCTTCACTGCTCTCCAAGTAGGTGACCGGATCGGTTGACTCAAGCAACCGATAAAGAGCGGTTTTCCAGTGAAATGTTGTCAGGACCTTAGAGTATTCCTCCAGTATGCTTCTCTGGAAAGCCTTGACCATCAGCAAGCATTTCTTGTGACCCGGGGGCGTCTCCTTTGCCAGTATGATCTCAGCCAGATTGCAGGAAAGACAGAAATCCATGTCTGGCTTTTCATCTTTGACTGCTGGTTTAGCAACAACAAAAAACTGGCTTCTGGAAATAACCTCTACAACTTGAGGACGTGGCCAATAACCAAGACCAGTTCGCTGCTTCCATTCTTCTATAAATTTTGGAGGTTCAGACAGCCGTAGTGCTGGGATAAAGTCTTTCTCTGACTTGCTACCAAACGTCGCGTATACATCGGGATCGTTTTCTTCGTCGATCGTAATGTTTATGCTTTCTCCTTTATTCATTTGATTGCTGATTGTGTTTTTATTGACCGTTATCGATTCTCTGTTCTGATCATTGGTTTGATTTGTTGATGAAGTATCCATTTGTTCTGTTTTTGCATCTAAATCGGCCGCTTCGTTTTCAGAAGTCTGGATTCTTGCTTTTTTGCCTGTGCTATTCGTTGCATTATTGCTTGCATCCGGGAGGGGAGTGGAGTCAAAAGTATTTACCCGGTCATCATCTAAATCTTCTTCTGTTTGCCTTTTGTTTGACATTCCACTCATTTTACCTGCCAAAGCGCACAGCATGGGCCCTAGTTGCTGGTATACTAATCCGGTTGACGTATCCTTTGACTTCATATTTTGTGCAAAGTCAACAACAGCAGCAAACGATGACACTACATTGTTAGTGTCACCTTGAAGAGCTTGTGAATCTTCTCTACGCTTCTCGAACTGATTTAGTAGAGAACGTTCACTTGCAGATCTGACGTTCTTCTTCACAGTTAGAGCTTCGCAATTCCAGTCTGCGTAATTAACTAAATTGTAGCCTGCCTTGCTGCTGCTGTTCATAGCTAGGTGCGGGGTATGTCGATCATGGGACGTATTTGACCTGCTGACCATATCAAAAATGCCCTTCAAGCGAGGAAATGCTAACGAGCTGACATCCTTCAGCAACCATGTTGGTAAATACACACCATCGATCAGCTGATCACAAAACTTTTCGCCCATGAAGGACCCTTTGATATGAACAAAGCAGGGCAGGTCTTCTCTGTACTCCAAACACTCAGTAGGGACAATTAAATTACCGAGCAGAATATAGTCGTAATCCCCCTCGTCCTGCCTTGAGCGCAGACGCGTTCCCTCTTTGGTGCTACCTACCACCAGACAATATTCCTTGCCGAACGCCGAAACGAGCATATTTATGTAATTACAGTTCTGGTCTTGACGTTTGTCATTCGGCACCGGAAGTGTCATGGCCATTAACTTGTCTAGAAGTCCTGTGAACGACACCGTCCCAATGTCTTCTAACCCTCCCTCCGCCATACTTATCTAAAATATATAAAAAGGCTTTTTACTTACGTGTTACTGCAATATTGTAAACATTGCAAAATAATAAATTCTAATCATTTGGCTTTAAATATCGATTACAATAATCACAATACATGGCACCAACAAATAAATACCTAGTATAACATTATAATATAACACGTTATATAGATACTGCTTATATATAGAGAGAAGAAATGCCGACAATGAAATTTGATATAACAAAGCTCCAGATATAAGCTGATATTTGTTTTACTGTCTTATATTGTCTACTAGTGGGGATTCGGGATTATTTTTTCTGCAAATGTATCAATATAAGTGATACCCGTTCAACTAACGTTGAGGTCCGGTGGCCGTATAGTGTTGTTAGAACTTTTTAACTTATGAAATGTAGTGAACTGGAACGACATTCTTCACGGTCACGTGTCACTATCGGACAATGGTTGACCATTTCAAAGCGAGCGATGACCACAAAATGAATGACCATGACGTAACAGGCAATCAAGACAACAGCAAAGACGAATGCTTATAAAGTCAAATAGGCCGAGAATCGTTCTGAATAAGGAACTGAATACACTTGTATCGTCGTCTTAACACACAGAAAGGGATTCAGTTTTATGTGTTAACTCATTATATACGTCAGCTTTCTGGTACGATATGAAGGGTAATTTGACTTTTATCAGGTACAAATTTATCAAATATCGTCTAAACACTGCATATTACTCATACAGTATTTAGTCTTATAGTTTTTAATCTATTTTTTTGTATGACGTTTTTTTAATTGTATAGCAGAATTTTTTCCTTGCTTTATTCATTACTGTTCGTTGTATTGTCAGTTACTTATGACGTAATAGATAAATGAAGAGAACAAATAGTATCAGTAGCTCCCTGGCACTTTTATCTGATAGCCCTGATCAACTTCTGAAGAGGTGAAAGGGCGAGGTAGCTACTAAGGATCTTTTTTCCCCTTTCTGTTGATTTACTATCACACAAATTTTTGATATACATATACATATATATGCAATTGGCCGCGGAAAATCAACGATAAATATCAGTGAATAAATGTTAATGTTCTCCTTTCACTTTTAAGCTGGATACAATGACACGTCACTTTATGTTACCAATCTGAGATAGGACAGGTAAAACACAAATACACATAATTGTTCTGATCTACCTACACATGGTAATCTATGTTCTGATCTACCTACACATGGTAATCTATGTTCTGATCTACCCACACATGGTAATCTATGTTCTGATCTACCCACACATGGTAATCTATGTTCCGTTCAATACGACTTTGCTTTACGAGCAAAGGAAAGCATGTCCTTTGCAACATAGATGATCAGATTCATTGTATCACGTTAAATCGATAATTTAAAAGTAATTTTTCCTTCAAAACCATTTTGTTAAAAGTTTAAATATAAGTCTGGTATAAAAGAACAGCCATGGCTTGTTACGTGTATTATAATAACATGGTCGTGGTAAACACAGTACAGTAGCAATGACGTGTTTATTAAAGAATCGATGTTTGTCATTGTATATAAAACATGATACTGCAATATCAGCAATCAAGTTAAAGAAAAACGAGTCGATATTGTGCTTACCAATGGCGCCTCCGGATCCGTTGATCTGCTGCGAAAACGTCCACCTCTTGAGACCAAAATGGCACCGCCTGGGTTTGTCGGGCGGTTAGTTCCAAGTGTTTGGGATTTCCACTTAGTCTATAAATAGCAACGACGTAGTTTCGGCCTCCAAACGACATGATGGAATTACCAAGTTCTACTATCGATTGAAATTGCTGAAGCAACCTTTGATTTCGTAACCTTAACGTTATTGACGTTTGTATAACGTGTTTGCATTGACGTGTATCGTATGTTCCAACGGATTTACACAGCTGTTCTCTAGGTTTAATATAAACATAAGGTACCCTTGCAGTACCCCTAGTCTGTATGTTTATCAGACCAGAACTTTGCCTACGTGTACATACATTTTGTAGACAAACTATTTATATACTCCACTAATTATAGATTGAGTGGAGTCCGACTTTTAAAATATAAACCGAAACTAGTAATTGGAAATATTCCGCAAATGGTCAATTATTTTCGCTTTAGTATATACCATATGACTATGATATGTAAGTGCGGAATAATGCACAGAATTAGGTTTTTCCTATTCGTGATACCTGTAAATATACCGGAATTTGCAATAAAATATAGCATATGTAAGAATAATGGAAATGGAACGTTTTACTCACGACTACACTGGATTCAGAACATTGCTTTCTAAGGTTGAGATATTGAGATAGTGGACAAATTTTGTTATCTAGGATTAGTTTTTTATTATAATGGAAGATTCACCGTAGGACAAAACACGTTGGCATTTCAAGGCAGGAAAGCTTTTTACCTTTTAAAAAGAAGAATGAAAGATTTTATCCTTAATACTGAAACTAAATTATCTTTGATACATATGTGACATGCATACTGAACTATGGATGTGAGTTATGTGGTAATTGTTTATCGCCACAAATCGAAAAAGTCCATCTTCTCTTTCTTAAAGATTTATTAAACGTCAAGAAAACCGTCAATAGTTCTATGGTTTACTTTGAGACAGGAAGTTATTCCTTACATATAAAGCGCAAAGTAGCTATAATTAAATACTGGATAAATATTTTGAATACAAATAACTGTGTACTAAAAGCATGCTATGATGCACTACTTGAGCTTAATGTCAAAAAGCCGAATTGTAAACTTAACTGGGTTTATCATATTAAAAATAATTCATATAGAATGGGTTTTAATCAATTTTGGGATGTTCAATATGTTCAAAATGAAAAACAATTTGTGGAAATTTATTCAGGAATTACGTGGTGCGTTTGAAACATCTTCTAAATGTTATTTATATAGACATCTTGTCGATACTTTTAATATGCAATTCCATTTAGTTAAGCCTTTAACATTTAATACCAAAAACATGTTGAGTCAATATCGCATGCAGGCGCATTCCCTTAATATCGAATCTGGACGTTATAATGGGGTTCCGAGAGGTCAAAGATTATGTTTTGCCTGTGACAAAAATGATTTAGAAGATGAGATACATTTTATTCTTATTTGTCCTGCTTACTCTGTATTGAGAAACACATACATTAAGCAATATTACTTCCGATCCCCCAGTGTGTATAAATTAATTGAATTATTGTCATGTAAAAGTATTAAAACATTACGTAGATTGGGTCTATATTTAAAATATGCTACCGCCAAAAGAAAAACCCTCGTGCAGTAATATTGCTAAATTATGTATTCTTTTTATGTGATAATTGCTTATATGGAATTGTCCTCCGCCATCTTGAAAATTTGAAATATGTTTTGTATTCTATGTATCAATTAACCTATATGCTGATTTGCATTCGGAAATAAAAAACTTGAAACTTGAACTTGAAGGTTCTGACCCCAAAAGACCTACAAGAGTCTCTGACCAACTTACCTTTTATGCAAGGTTCCAGGTTTTCAACCTCTTTCTCTTCATACGAGAGTATGTAAACCCGAGTGTAAATACTCGAACTTTTCATCCGAGGATAGAGCGTATGATTCCGAAATGCCTTGTCTCACCCAAATACCCTACACGAGCGAGTATAGTTTCTAAACCAGCACACCGCTGCCCCTACTGTACAACACACGTAAGAGCTACTTAACCCAATACCTACACCCGAAGGTAGAGATTATGTCACTCCACCAACATCAACACCCCAGGGTAGAGGTTCTGACACTCTCTCAAACCTCAACATCCCAGGGTAGAGGTTCTGTCACTCTTTCAAACCTCAACATCCCAGGGTAGAGGTTCTGACACTCTCTCAAACCTCAACGCCCCAGGGTAGAGGTTCTGACACTCTCTCAAACCTCAACGCCCCAGGGTAGAGGTTCTGACACTCTCTCAAACCTCAACATCCCAGGGTAGAGGTTCTGTCACTCTTTCAAACCTCAACACCCCAGGGTAGACATCCGAAGTAGAGTTTTTTACACTCCCCGAACCTTAACACCAGAAGTAGGAGATTATGTTACTCTCCGACCTCCACACTCCAGGGAAGAGATAATGTCCCCCCCCCCCAAACTTTAACAACCCAGGGTAGAGATTATGTCACTCCCCGACCTCAACAACCCAGGGTAGAGATTATGTCACTCCCCAAACCTGAACAACCCAGGGTAGAGATTATGTCACTCCGACCTCAACAACCCAGGATAGAGATTCTGTCACTCCCCAAACCTAAACAACCCAGGGTAGAAATTCTGTCACTCCCCAAACCTAAACAACCCAGGGTAGAAATTCTGTCACTCCCCAAACCTAAACAACCCAGGGTAGAAATTATGTCACTTCCCCGAACCTCAACATCCGATGGTAAGAAGATTCTTACACCCCCCGAACCACAACACCCAAAGTTAGAGATTAAGTCGCTCCCCCGAACCTCAACACCCGATGGCAGAAATTCTATTCCTCCCCGACCCTCATCAATCGAGGGTAGAGTTTCTACCTCTCATAGACCCCAGGGTAGATATTCTGTAATTCCCCGAACCTCAACATCCGAAGTAGAGTTTTTTACACTCCCCGAACCTTAACACCAGAAGTAGGAGATTATGTTACTCCCCAACCTTAACACTCCAGGGAGGAGATAATGTCACCCCCAAACTTTAACAACCCAGGGTAGAGATTATGTCACTCCCCGCCCTCAACACTCCAGGGAAGAGATTATGTCACCCCCCACCTCAACAACCCAGAATAGAGATTCTGTCACTCCCCAAACCTGAACAACACAGGGTAGAAATTATGTCACTCCCCTACCTCAACACTCAAGGGAAGAGATTATGTCACCCCCCACCTCAACAACCCAGAATAGAGATTCTGTCACTCCCCAAACCTAAACAACCCAGAGAAGAGATTCTGTCACCTCCGACCTCAACAACCAAGAATAGAGATTCTGTCACTCCCCAAACCTAAACAACCCAGGGAAGAGATTCTGTCACCTCCGACCTCAACAACCGAGAATAGAGATTATGTCACTCCCCAAACCTGAACAACCCAGGGTAGAAATTCTGTCACTCTCCAAACCTAAACAACCCAGGGTAGAGATTATGTCACTCCCCGACCTCAACACTCCAGGGAAGAGATTCTGTCACCCCCGACCTCAACAACCCAGAATAGAGATTCTGTCACTCCCCAAACCTAAACAACCCAGGGTAGAAATTCTGTCACTCTCCAAACCTAAACAACCCAGGGTAGAAATTCTGTCACTTCCCCGAACCTCAACATCCGATGGTAAGAAGATGCTTACACCCCCCGAACCACAACACCCAAAGTTAGAGATTAAGTCGCTCCCCCGAACCTCAACACCCGATGGCAGAAATTCTATTCCTCCCCGACCCTCATCAATCGAGGGTAGAGTTTCTACCTCTCATAGACCCTCAACACCCGAGGTAGAGTTTCTGACACTCAAACGTTGCACACAAGGGTAGAAATTGTTACCTAAACCTCTTCAGTAAAGTTTCCTACTCCAAACTCTACACCGGAGGTAGACCATCCGATCCTCTTTCATAATACCAGGGGATAGAAATTCTCTTTCTCACATAACCTCAACACCTAAGGATATATCTTCTGACCCCATACTCTATATCTGCGGGTAGAACCTCCTCTGACCCATTATACCTTACACCCGAAGGTGAAGCGTCTGCTCATGTCAAAAACTTGACACCATAAGTTGAGTTTCTGACTCCTTGACTTTACATCCATGGGTATAGCCACTAACCCGTAACTTCAACACCCGAGGTAAGAGCTTCAGTCCCTCCCCAAAACCAGCACCCGAGGGCAGAGTTTCTGTCCCTCCCTAAAACAAACACCCGAGGTTAGAGCTTCTGTCCCTCCCCAAAACCAACACCCGAGGTAAGAGTTGGGTTGTTTTTTTTGGGTTTTTTTTGTTTTTTTGTAATTTTCTTTTTATTCAAGATTTTTTTGCAATATATGGTATATTTACATTCAAACAATTCATATTATATATTCAGACCTCACACGACTCATATTCACTCTTACTTACATCAGTTGATATATTTAGACACAAGTACATGTAATGGTACCCATGTACACATATATTGCCTTTATGAGAACAGAGAGAGAGAGAGAATAGAAAAGAAGAAGGAAAAAAAATAGCAATGAAAACGGAAAAAGTCAACAGAAAGAGAAAGAAAAAGGAGAAACTAGTTTTTGCACTGCAGCTCAATAATAAACAAACTTTATGTTTAGAATAAGATTATAAGATAATCTTCTGTATTAATTGTAAGTAAGGTGCTTTCGGCTTTAAACTGCAAGTAAATACATCCATATAAAGGTGACTGAGAAATGAGGGTAATACTCAGGACAAAATATATTTATATCATAAAAGAAATTAACTTTAATAAGTTCAGACAGAAACATCAACTTAGATTCCAAAAAAAAGGGACAAAAAAAATATATTTAGAGTTCAGGCAAGATTCAATACAGGTATGGTAAAAGGGACATAACTGCAAAAAAAAGTCCTTAAAACTTAGTGTGTGCTGGCTACATGTATGTGCATCAGTGTATTTTCAAAATATAAAAAGAGAACTATACTGTGGGAGGAGATGTATTGTATCTGCTGACTTGATGATATTAAATTATTTAATTTTGGCTTATAATTCCAGGAGGTGGTTCCATTTTTTCCATTCTCTTTCCAGTTTTGTTACAAAATTATCCCCCTTGCAACATGCTATATATTTTTGTACAGAATAATGGTCTTTTATGCTGTTAATTAAAGCATTTACTGACAAATTGTTTTGAAGGCATCTTGTTTTATAAATATAGTGTTTGATCATAATCAAAATTTCATTATCTAGTCTGTTGCCTATTCCTGACTGTGACACTATTCCAAAAAGGAAGGATTCCTTATTAAAAGAAAATGGGATAATTAAAGCTTCTAGTAATGTTTCAAAACTGTATAGGAAATTTTGTACAATGGCACACTCCCATAATGTATGAATTATTGTTTCCCTATCTAGATTACAAAAAACACATAAAGGATTATTAGAGAGACCGGCTTTGCATAGATATATATTTGTTGTCAAAATATGATGGAGAATTCTTACTTGGAGCCACTGGAGTTTTGTATTAGTAGTTGTGCGAAATGGAATTTGATATATTTTCTCCCATTTGTTGTCCCTAATGTCAAATATTTCTACCCATTTCTTCCTACCAGTTGGCATTATCTTATTTTCAGAAAGTATTACATAAAAGTCATTAGCTCCTTTGGTGTCCGAGGTAAGAGTTACTGTCCCTCCCCAAAACCAACAACCGAGGGCAGAGTTTCTGTCCCTCCCTAAAACAAACATCCGAGGTTAGAGCTTCTGTCCCTCCCCAAAACCAACACCCGACGTTAGAGCTTCTGTCCCTCCCCAAAACCAACAACCGAGGGCAGAGTTTCTGTCCCTCCCTAAAACAAACACCCGAGGTTAGAGTGTTTGTCCCTCCCCAAAACCAACAACAGAAGTTAGAGCTTCAGTCCCTCTCCAAAACCAACAACCGAGGTTAGAGAGTATGTCCCACCCCAAAACCAACAAACAAGGTTAGAGAGTATGTCCCTCCTCAAAGCCAACAACCTAGGTTAGAGCTTCTGTCCCTCCCCAAAACCAACAATCGAGGTAAGAGCGTTTGTCCCACCACAAAACCAACAACCGAGGTTAGAGCGTCTGTCCCTCCCAAAAACCAACAACCGAGGGCAGAGTTTCTGTCCCTCCCTAAAACAAACACCCGAAGTTAGAGCTTCTGTCCCTCCCAAAAACCAACAACCGACGTTAGAGCGTTTGTCCCTCCCCAAAACCAACAACCGAGGTTAGAGCTTCAGTCCCTCCCCAAAACCAACAAACGAGGTTAGAGAGTATGTCCCTCCTCAAAGCCAACAACCTAGGTTAGAGCGTTTGTCCCTCCCAAAAACCAACAACCGAGGTTAGATCGTTTGTCCCTCCCCAAAACCAACAACCGAGGGCAGAGTTTCTGTCCCTCACTAAAACCAACACCCGAGGTTAGAGCTTCTGTCCCTCCCCAAAACCAACACCCGACGTTAGAGCGTTTGTCCCTCCCCAAAACCAACAACCGAGGGCAGAGTTTCTGTCTGTCCCTCACTAAAACCAACACCCGAGGTTATAGCTTCTGTCCCTCCCCAAAACCAACAACCGACGTAAGAGTTTCTGTCCCTCCCTAAAACAAACACCCGAGGTTAGAGCTTCTGTCCCTCCCCAAAACCAACAACCGACGTAAGAGCGTTTGCCCCTCCCCAAAACCAACAACCGAGGTTAGAGAGTATGTCCCACCCCAAAACCAACAATCGAGGTTAGAGCGTTTGTCCCACCACAAAACCAACAACCGAGGTTAGAGAGTCTGTCCCTCCCAAAAACCAACAACCGAGGGCAGAGTTTCTGTCCTCCAAACTCTACACTTGAGGATATAATCTTTGACCACCAAACTACACCTGAGGGTAGAATTTCAATAGCTACGTGCAATTTAAAGGTAGAGAGATTGTATTTAAATTCCGACATACTTTGGTTCTAAGACGCGCCTGAGTAAAGTCCAAGTAGGTATTGTCTATTTTACACTGATGTGTGCTGTTTACATCCTCCGTTAGCTAATAAACGTTACATAAGATCCATCTGTTAGTTTATATCTATGAGAAACATATACACAGTTACTCTTGTTACGCTTCTACTGCTTGGTTACTTAATTAGACGTCTTTATCATGTGCGTTTAATAGCAGCATACTGCGAATGTTATATACCACAAATACCAAAATATCAGCATTACAAATCTACACGTCGATTATCGCGGAACTAACTTCTCATGTGTTATCCAATCTGTCAGTAAACATAGTAAAATGTAGAACAGCAAAAATAAAGACTTGACAGTGATAACAAACATAAGGAAATAATACATCTGATACACTCAATGTTTATTTAATATAATATACACCTCACACACAATCAATGTAATTTCTAGAGTTCTTTGAGTAAACCAGACAATCTGAACACAGTGAATAACGCAAACATCGTGTCCTGCGTTTTAGATTCTTGTGCAGTTAGAAAAGTTTCAAACGTCTTCATGATTCTGTCTACGGGCACCATGAGTGGCCTCCCTTTTCCCACTAAATCTTTCGTCAAATCGCTACAAACCGCCTCAGCCACCTTCAACACCGCCTTCTTGAATAGTGGTTCATCGTCGGATGACTGAGGTGGTTCTCTCACAAATTGTTCGAGAGCAGAAACGATCATGTCAATGACGAATCGATCAGTATCAGCATGTACAGAATTTTGCAGCTGTTCCATTTGGGATCGAGTGACTTCTATAGTTCTAACACTACTATTTATTTCCTCATATCTGAAATATTCCCGCAACGTATCGACGGGATCGTCAAGAACTTCGGTGAGTATATCTACAACTTTACTTATGGTCATAACATCTAAATGTCCGATTATATTGCTGGGGTTGAAGTAATGTTGCAGATTAGATTTACGGAGACTTGTAAGCATAAAATCCACCACGTTCCTCACTAAACTCAGTACATTCTCGTCACTGTCATCAGCTATCTGTGATAGGGCAGTGCCTTCTGATACCCAGTACAACGCTGTTTTCCAGTGGAAGGTGGTAAGTTTATCGGAATATTCCTCTAATTTGCTGCTCTGAAACGCTTTGATCACGAGGAGGCATTTTCTTTGAACTGGATACATACAAGCAGAGAGCTGTATTTCTGCTGAGACATATGACAAGCAAAACTCGGTCTTATCAGAAGCTCCCTGTGCTAATGGTTTACAAACGACGAAGAAATCACTTTTGCATATACTGCTCACAACGTCGACTCCTGGCCACGCCTTGTCACACGTTCGTGCTTTCCATGTGTCCATGTGTTTGGGTGGGCCGTCCAACGGGAATGCTGCAATGCATCTTTTCAGTGATTTCCATCGGTAACTTGCATAAAACACTTCCTCGCAACCAGAATGTTCTGTTGACCGTAATTCCTCCTCTGCGTTTGTTGTGTTCAGTGTTGATGATCTGGTATGGTGCGAAGCTGTTGTTGAACTGTTAATGCAGTCTGTTACTGCATTGACCAAAGGACTCAAATACTGAAAGAGCTGTGCACCAGCCCCGATATCGTCGCTAAGGGTTATCGCCAAAAGTGCAAGCTTCCTCAGCACTTGGATAACTTTAGTATTTGTGTGCATCAAAAACGGCGAATTTCTTATCCTTTCATAGAATAGTCCATACACTTTGTCTGTATCAATATTGGGTGACTTTGGTCTAACCGGAAGCTCGTCACACATCCAGTCGGTATAGTTTGTGAGAGTGACTCCGGGTTTGTTTGGCGCATCAATGTTGATATGAAGGGTGTGCTGGCCTTGGAATGTGCTGACCAACGACACCAAGGAAAACAATCCGCGAAGTCCTGTAAACGCCTCACTACTGACCGTTCTGAGAAGGTTACCAGGGAGATATATCCCATCAATAAGTTCAACCGGAAGTTCATCATGTAATTTCGTGCCATCAATTCTCACATAACATGGAACTTTATCATTGTACTGCAAGTATTTTGTACTAATAAGTATTTCTGAAATCATGAGATAATCATGGTCACCCTGATCCTGGTTTGACCGCAGTCTGGTTCGTTCTTTGGTACTGCCAACCAAAATACATTGTTCTTCTCCATACAATGACAGAATACTATTAATGTACCGGCAGTAACGATCTTGTCGTAGGTCAGTAGGAACAGTTGTGACTTTCTTTAACAGCTCTATTATTAACTGACCAAATGTCTTAGCTTTGTAGATGTCGCTGTCATCATCATCACTGTCACTCATGATGAAGGCCGTCTGAAACGAGAGATGACGAATATTAACATCAGGAAACAACAGACAAAATATGCAAACAGTCTGATATGCAGTGGAAACGTTTGTACACTAGGGGCTAAAAATAGCTCGTGTTCTACGTTTAACAACCAGTAGAAATAAAACATGTATCTAAAGATGTGCAATATTTACACAAAAAAATAGCATTCTCTTATAGTGTGTCAAACATTTGCACATCAAATAGATATAAACACACGTGATATACCAAGATATAACTTACTATTTTCTCCCAATATTTGGTTCTCTGTATAGCTTTGGCTGTTCGCCTGTGTTTCCTCTCCTGCTCTTCTGTATGTCTGCACTGTCTACCGACCTTCCGTCGGTACCCGAAATATCGCGAGCGGTGTGTAGCGACTGTTCCGTTAGCATTTGTTTTAAATCAGGTTTTGTTGAGATCTTTGTTCAGTTACACATAGGCATCAGACCATTACTCCAGTGTGAATGGGTTTAGCGCTGGGCTTTGTTTGTGGGATATGGCAATGCATGTGTAACGTTATTAGATACGTATAAATGGTCGGTTAGATATAATCGTCTGGTTAGTCACAGCAGAAGTGTGTATATATATAGTGCTGTTGATTGTGTATAGTATAACGTTATGACACTAGATCAATGGTGGCATATTTACTCAATACTGAACATTTATAGAGGTATATTACGATTGGTAGCAAATACATGTTTTTTTCTATGTCTTATATAGACTTTAGTATAATAAGTAAAGTCAAAAGATTAAATGTAGGCTAGTTGTAAGTATTGTCAGCCTAACCAATTTTAGCATACACTATGATACCGGTTGTTTCGTGTGATTATTTTATTGTACATCTATGTGACCGTTATCATATTTTTGTGTATATTCCAGTGTGACGTAATACAGAAGACAATACACTTCACGTCATACACTTCTACATGGCACTGTCACGCCATTAAATACCACACATGATATCAAGACGGCGACTTTGATGGTTTGACAATAGTCTACAGAAAATTATGCTCCGGAAATACTTGTAGTATTTCTCATCAACAAAAAGAAAAGGATTTTGTTTCCATTACGAAAATGGAGTGAAATTTAAGTGGAATATGTTGATGCATTTTAGCTAATTTGTTTCATTTCTGTATTGGTGGATATAGGATAACTAGTCTGTGAAAATAACAATCATCACCAACAACAACGACATAAAATATCTACTCAGCACTCCGTCCTATTAGATTACTAACTGTGCTGGTTTGTCATCAGATCATAAAGTTAAACGTCTACTACAGCAGCGCGCGTTCATTAATAGATGGGTGGTAATGCAAATATAATGCATATATAAAGTGGGAACTAGCAAATTGATAACCATAATGTAAGTTTATAGAACACACTGGTAAGAATAAACTGAACAAGGTAAGAAAAGACACATGGGAGAAAATAAAATAAAAGCATAGGATGTCAGGAACATCCCATTTCCAAATCATCTATACACTTATTCAGTTGCAAGAATTATTTCTAGTTCTATTTTATAAGTTCTTTTCTTACAAATGTGTTTTCTATTTGGATTTCACCTTTGTGGCCCCTAGCATTACCGATCAGTCATAAAAGGACGGGACGGCTGTATAATGCAGTATAAATAGTTTTTTGCATACTGTATCAATCTCAAAATTTTATAAATGTAATCTCAGGAGTAAAGTTTACATTCTTTTTTCTTAAAAAGATCAAAACTAAAGGAAAAATGTATCAGAGCTGTATTGATTAACGAAGTCACCTTTTGTAGTATAATACTAAGTAACTGTTCGAACAAGAAACGGGCGTTTACTATACAAAAGGACTGTCGCCACTGTGCCCAGTTTATTACCATTACTGCCTTTGATACTACGATGAACCTCAGTATCAGAGTGGTCAGCAGCCCCTGACTAGGCTTTAGGAGATACCTCGTGACCATTCTATACTCTAAATAACTTTATATGTGACTATCAATAACGATATACTTAGATTTAAAAATTAACGGCACATTTAATTTACTTACTCTTTTGAATCTTCGATAACTTATTAACATATGAGGTCTTGATTCTGATATCAAATAAAACTCCTGAAAAGTTAGCGATTCATTAGCGGCACAGAAATAGAGAAACTAAGCTAAGGTTAGATAGCGTTATACCACGTGTCTATCGACTCTGTGTTCCTTGGAATAAGTTGATAATATATACATGGTACAAACACAAGGTAATAACGTATATTGGTTTACTAGACGAATGTACATGCTTATAAGTACATCATGCTTACCTTGAAAAATCAAACCAAGTGTTTATATGTCTGAGTCGATAGGCTCATGACTGGTGGTAGTGCGTCTCCTGCAGTGGACAATTCTGCACCATTGACATTACAATAGTCCAGCATGAAGACATCAGTTTATAACATTTCCATATCCTCATACAATAAGAAATCTTAATACAATTCATGACCTGTTTGATACAGACATGTCAAACATGCTTGTTTATGACCACAGCATTTTCCTAGCTGTAGCAGTATCACTGTAGATATTACATTTTCCTAGCTGTAGCAGTATCACTGTAGATATTACATTCAGGATTACACCATGACAGGCAAATGCTTGTAATTATCATACCGAAAAGTTCATTAAAAAACAGTTGTACTTTTGATAAATTTAAATTATGTTAAAATTTAAATTTAATTACGACTTCCTTTTCCCTGACTCCGATTGTTATTCTTGCCAATCAATTTTGTTTATAGTTTACCTCATTACAATATCTTAAATTATATTACCATATCAAATTCACCTTAAATTACCATATCATATTTACCTAATATTACCATATCGTATTAACCTAATATTACCATATCAAATTCACCTAATATTACCATTTCATATTTACCTAATATTACCATATCATATTTACCTAATACAACCATATCATATTTACCTAATATTACCATATCATATTTACCTAATATTACCATATCATAATTATTTAACCTAATATTACCCTTTCATATTTACCTATTATTACCATATCATATTTACCTAATATGACCATATCATATTTACCTGATTTTACCATATCATATTTACCTAATATTACCATATCATATTTACCTAATATTACCATATGGTGTTAACCTAGTATTACCATATCATATTTACCTTATATTACCATATCATATTTACCTAATATGACCATATCATATTTACCTAATATTACCATATCATATTTACCTAATATTACCATTTCATATTTACCTAATATTACCATATCATATTTACCTAGTATTACCATATTATATTTACCTAATATTACCATATCATATTTACCTAATATGACCATATCATATTTACCTAATATTACCATATCGTATTTACCTAATATTACCAAATCATATTTACCTAGTATAACCATATCATATTTACCTTATATTACCATATCATATTTACCTAGCATAACCATATCATATTTACCTAATATTACCATATCATATTTACCTAGTATAACTATATCGTATTTACTTAATATTACCATATCGTATTTACCTAATATCATCATAATATATCAACCTTATATTACCATATTATATTTCCTTATTTTATCATGTTATATTTACCTAATACCACCATATCATATTCACCTAGTATTACAATATCACTAGTAATGACTGACTTCATACTTGCATCATAACAAATACGTTTGTTATATACTGACTCCAAACTACATTATAACCAACCTACAATTACATGCAATATTCTGACTTCCTAACCCACCTTAACACAAATGTGTTTATTGCACTGACTGAGAATGAACATAATTGTTGTAATTTGTACACCATCTTTCAAAGGAGACAGTTTGTTAATTTTGACAATGAGACTGCATTATACAGTAAAAAAAATACAAATAGCGTGACGTGCACTGAAAGATACTCACATGTCATATACGTAAAGGCGTTTTCTGTTTTTCAGAAAAAAAACTCCAAACCAAACCTCCAAGCTTGGGAATTCCGATTTGGAATCCCTGCCCGGAAGGTTGGAAACCTCATACAGTCCTCACAAACCATTGAAAGACATGTCTAGTATAATTTCATGACGCTGTGTTATTTCCATTTGAAAGTAAGAATTACCTTCATTCTGTGTGGAAGCCCCCGACATACAGTTACATGTTAATTCATGGACCCTTTCTGGCGTTGAATGAAGAAAAACGCAGGTTTCTTTTGGATGCACCATGCAATAGTCCCTGTGTGTGGGGTCGTGAGTGAGTCACGTGTGTATTGTTTAGAGGCAATACCAAGGAACCAAGCCTCTCTGCCCTCGTGTCCGTTATCACCAGGTTCGGTGGTCAGCTAAGCGGTGAAAATGTCAACGGGGACCAAAATCTTGTAAAATCGTATACGGCTAGTGACACTTTTACGGTACATAGGTGTCAGCTTGGTGTGCCTCTATACCGAAAACATTGACACGCACAACCCATTAAACGAATATTACAGTTGACAAAATAGACTAAAATAACTTTATTCTCGTTTTTCATTTCCTGATGGCTTCCGGTTCTCAACATAATAGTAAGTTTAATTGAACCCCTTTAAAGGACACTGTATAACGAACACTTATAATTGGGGTTTTTGAAAGTTATCCCTACGAGGACGTGATATCAATTTGATTTGATTAGAGTAACATGACTGGTGTCGTCAATAAAGAAGATTAGTATCCTTACCCTTCCGGCACGCTTGGTCTTCTTCTTCTTCCGTCTCTTGTGCCTTAATTTCCATGTTTATCTTCTTCTTCTTTTGGTTCTAATTCTTATCTAGCTCCATCAATTTCGAATTCGCATTACCATTTTATTCACACTTTGGTTATCTTTTGTGTTTTATTTCCGGTTTATTTAAACCAGGAAATTGTGTTTTATCATTGCGAATTGGTATAGGTGACGATTTCATTAGTACCATGTTATGATACATGTTCAAAGAATGCAGACGTATCATCAATGTTAATAAGGCTTGGTCAAATGTATATAAACCTTTAAAAGATGATGTAACTAGTTCACCAAGCCTATGTAAAACTGAGGAATTGTCTGACTGGAAGTATATATTTATAAATACAACATGATTTTAAACAAATGTGTATATCTGACGGTTGAGATTAGAGTATGTCTGATCGATTCGTGCCAGGTTAAATAATTAAATCTTCGCTGTTCTCAGCATCGCGTTTGTTTTTATCCTCAACGATTCGTCGTTCTTTGACGAATCAGAAAATTTGAAACTAGCTGTAAAATAATTTTTACTTCTAATTTACTAATTCCCCTTGTCTTCACCATTTGTTATTATAGTGTATGACAAATATACTTAGACTAGCTGTGTTAACTCAGGGGGAAATGCCTTATCGGGTAAATACTCTGTTCACATTAAAAAACACTGGACAACCCCTTTGGGAAAATAAATTCGTTTTCTATATTAATTGACTTTTAT